GCCATGGATTGAGGTAGTACAGTTCCTCATCAGCAGTGGAGAACTCTTCCCCAGGGATTTGGGCAAGACCAGGTTTTATAGAGCTTTAGAAGAGGCAACGTGGAGACAGGGCATGACTGGCTGGGAGGTTGGGAATTTCCTTGTAAGGTTAACAGGTCCTGATTTCTAGAGTAAGGTAAGCTGAGTTGGAGGATTGTGATTGGTGTATGTTACGTCCCTGGACAGGTTTTTCCTGTTAAGCGCAGGCTGACTTAGGTTTAGATTTATGATGTGGTCTGGTCCACTGGGGTGGCTCCAATGTGTGGGTCCCATTATATAAATTAACCTTTAAAGTGTTATGTCAGCTCACTGGAGTCTTTTCAGTGGTTAAAGAAATTTTTTCACCTAAAAATCAGATAAGGGCTGGAGGTAGATTGGGGGTGGGAGGTGGGGTAGAACGGGGCCAGTAGAAAAGCCTTGGCCAGAGGAGTGGGGCTGTTGCGGTTTCTGAAGACCACAGAGTGTAAGAACAGGTTCCACAATGTCATTTCCTTGAATATTACAGCTTGCTTCCTCAGAGAGCTTTTGGGAGAGAGGCCCCAGCAAAGGACCCCAAGAGAGATCCCAGAGCAACTCATGTTCTGGGGATGTTGAGGGTGAACAAATGTCGATGAGGATGACGACAGAAAGCAAAAAAGGGAAACTAGCATTGACTTGATACCCACAATGCACTAGGGACTTCGCTAGCATGCAAATTCTCTTTTAATTTTCAAAAACCTTGAGTGCAGTGGTTCTCAACCAGGGGCAATGTTGCCCCCAAGAGAACATTTGCCAATGTCTAGAGACATTTTTATTTTCACAACTAGGGGGTGCCCCTGGCATCTAGTGGGTAGAGGTCAGGGATGCTTCTAAACATCCTACAGTGTATAGGACAGGTCTTCACGATGAGAATTATTTGGCCCCAAATGTCAATAGTACTAAGGCTGAGAAACCCTGCTTGAAGGACAGGCATGCTAATCTTCATTTATACAGATGAGGAATCTGTAGTTCTGAGAAGCTACCTGTCATTCAAAATGAGATTTACACAGCTCTAAAGCCCTGCTCTTTGACCATGCCATAGTGATAGGAACAGTGATGGGTAAGAAAGATAAAGAACCAGGGCACTAATTGCTGCTCAAAGATATTTGTTGGAGAAATGAGTACAAGAATGATCATCCTATTGCAACTCTGACACACATCTTTGTCTTTGTTCCACAATCTTCTGTTCCACAAACAGAGTCAGGGTTACGATAATAAAGAAAATCAAATGGTGGGGGCTGGCCTCAGGTCGCTATGCTCGATCTCAGGAGGAGTCTGATGCCAGTGTCTGTGCCTCTAAATAGATGTAGAAGTACGGGGAGTCTGCTGACACACTCTCTTCCATCACCTTTTCTAAGCAGAGAGACAGACAGGAGGTTCTGAGCTGAGTTTGGGTGACCATTTATTCCCTTCTTCCTCCCAGAGGCTGAGCCCAGCTGTGGCCCCAGAGGAAGAGGAGAATCTGTTTCCCAGTTTCCACATTTTCTCTGAATTTGGAGTGGGACTGAGCCAGATTGATTCTGGGAAACCCTGAAACTTCTGGGATGGAAAAGTTGAGACGAAAGAGGGTGGAAGGGGAGGCGCCAATGACAAAAACAATACTTCTTTTCACTTCCTCTTTTGGACTCCAGAATTTGTCTGTTCTCTGGAGTGGAATCCGTCAAGCCTCCAGAGAAGTCTGTGCCTGCTGTGCTGGGCTGTCAGAGGCAACCTCCTCGCTCCAGGAGGTGATGGGGATCCCCACGTTCCTAGCCCTCCCGGCTGCCAGGAGTGACCGAGCTGCCTGCACATCCTGCCATCCTTTGGGCCACATGCTACTGTGGACGGCTCTGCTATTCCTCGGTGAGGCAGGGTCCCCAGGAGGGGCAGTGGAGCAGGGACAGAGGCAGGCATGCTTTTCTAACTCAGCTGCTGTCACCTCGGTTGGGGCTGAGCTTGGGCAAGGATGAGGGCTGGGGTGGGAAGCACGTCAGGAAAGTCAGGAGGGTGAAGGCAGGCTGATGAAAATCAGATTCTGATAACCTTGCTGGCCTTGCCAAATTATGAAATTGGCAGAGTTTATTTTTTTTTATTAACTTATTTATTTAGTTTTGGCTGAGTTGGATCTTTCTTGCTGCACACGGGCTTTCTCTAGTTGTGGAGAGCAGGGGCTACTCTTCGTTGTGGTGCGCGGGCTTCTCATTGCGGTAGCTTCTCTTATTGCAGAGAGTGGGCTCTAGGTGTGCGGGCTCAGTAGCTGTGGCACACGGGCTTAGTTGTTCCCCGGCATGTGGGATCTTCCCGGATCAGGGCTCGAACCCGAGTCCCCTACATTGGCAGGTGGATCCTTAACCACTGCACCACCAGGGAAGCCCAGCAGGGTTCATTTTTTTTTTTAAGTCTTTTGCCCAATTTCACTGTGCACCGAGGTCCCTGGTGCTCTGCCACCCCCCCAGAGCAGAGCCAGCTGCGAGCAAAGTCTAGTGACCTAGACTTGAAGGACTAATGAGTGGCCAAGATGTTTACCTTCCTTAGAAATTGTGTAGGTGGGAGGGCTAATGCTGTCTTAGGCAAATAGGAGGTGGGGGGATCACATTGTGGTTGGGGGCAGTGGCTGCTCTCTGTGCTCCTGAAACCACTTCAGGCAGCAGAAGCCTATTCTCTTTATGCGAAAGGAGATCCCCCTGGGCAAAAGCACAGGAGGGTGTGGGTTATCCAGGGGATGGGGATCAGAGAATACATAAGCCAGGCAATTCTAGAATCAGTTGTGGGACTGAGGAATCGTGCATGCCTCCTTGCACTGCACAAACATGGGGGTACGTCCTGTCACTGATCGAATAGAAAGACAGGATCTTAGGCTGCAACTGAGCGCTCCTTTCTGACCATGTTCTCAGCTGTGAGCTAGGGACCAGGGACTGATAGTGCTGGTGGGTGGAAGAGTCTAGGGAAGACCAAGTAGGGGAGCCTTATTTCCAGGAATGTCTCCCCAAGCTCAATTTCTAGAGTATCTACCCTCAAACGTGCTTCAGTATGGTCCCAGAGGACATGCAGCCACTTTCCAAGTTATGTACTATGATCGATAGTAAGATCTGTTCAGCTCTGGGAGCCTCGGCCCTCAATGCTGGATGATACTGGGACAGGAGGTGGAGGTGACGAAGAGAGAGTATCCTCCCATGAGCAGGATGAAATGGATGAAGCAGAATAGCATGAAAAAGGAGCACTGAACCACCTTACTTTTCGTATGGAGAAGCTGAGGCCTGGAGTAGTGGCATGCTTCCCTACCTCTGCTATAGTGATACCAATGTGACGCCTAGACAGGACTCCTGGGAGAGACTTTTGGAATTTTTATCCATTTGCCCTTTTGCTAAGTCACAAAGATTGACTCCATCTTTTCCATTCTCATCTGGGCTGCCATATTTAGGTCTTCATTGCTCAGTAACTCAATTTTTTCTTTTTCTTTCTTTTTTTTTTTTTGTTTGGGGTATGCGGGCCTCTCACTGTTGTGGCCTCTCCCATTAAATAAATGCTCTGTGCAGGCTCTGTTCTAGGACTTAGAGATTTATCACTGAACAAGAGAGACAGCCTTCCTGACCTAAAGCACAAGGTCTTTGCCTCCCTCACAGTGACAGTACTATACTGAGTATGAACATATTTAATATTCACTAGTATTTGTTGGATGAATACATGGAAGTTGCCTTCTCTCTACTTCTCTCATCTCTTACTCGTTTCTTCTCTTCCTCCTCCTCTTAGTCCTGCTTCTTTGCCCATTCCCTGCACTGCCACATTGTCACCCCTGCACACTCTGCTTTTCAGCGATCACTTCTGTGTCAATAATTTCCAAACCTATCTTTCTTGTTTGTGTCAAGTACAATTTCATATTTCCACCTGCTGGTTGGAGACCTCCAAATTGATTTGTCAGCTCAGAAACAAAACACATTCAAAATCCAGCTCTCATCTTCCCCTCACAAATGTCCTTCTCCTCCTAACATTTATATTTGTGTGAGCACAGCTAATGTTTTTCCCAGTCACCCATTTACAAGACCCCCATATCTCTTCAAGTGCCAAGTTCTCTCTCCCTCTTAAATTTCTCTCATGCCCGTGTCCTCATCTTTACGTTCTATTGTCAACGCAATTTTGGGCTCTCTTATCTCCCACCTAGATGGACTCAATGAATGATTTCCAGAGCATTGGCAAATAAAATTAATATGGCCACTGCCCTCTTTGAGCTTACATTCTACTGAGGGATAGAAACAGTAAATAAAGGAACACAAATGCATAAATATGAATTGGGAAATGGCAATGAAACTGTAAACAGGATACTCTGATAAGAACACTTGTTGCAGGTGACATGAGAGAACAGCCTACATTAACGGGATGATATGGCAAGAATTTTCTGAGGAAGTGTCTTTTAAGCTAGGACCTGAAGCATGATAAGAATTAAGCCATTTGAAGATACAAAGGAAGCAGGTTTAAAGTAGAGGGATGGGCATACAGAAAAGCCCCAAGTTTGAAGAGGTCTGGTGTTATTGGAGCTCAATGAGTAGGGGAAGTGTGGCTCGAGATGAGGCTGGACAGGTGAGCAGGGCTTGTGTCAGGTGTGGCCTTGTAAATATTTACATTTTATTTTCAGAGCAAAGGAAGAGCACTGAAGGCATGTAAGCAGGAGAGTGATATTATCTAATTTGTTATTTTAAAAATAACTCTAGCTTCTCTGTGGGGAATGAATTGTCGGGGGAGCAAAATAAGGGAAGAGATAAGTTGGGAGATGGGAGAAAGCTGCTGGTGACCTAAAATAGTGTGGACATGGACTGAAGCTGACACATTCAAGAATTAACTGGAAGCAGGATGATCACGACTTTACTGGTGCAAAGGCTGATGGGGTTTGGGAGAGAGAGGGGAATAAAAGAGGACTTGCGGTTTCCAGGCACGAGTACCTGGGCAGATGGTGAAGGTATACACTTATATGGGGGAACCTGGGAGAGAAATAGAACTGTGTCCACTTGATTTGACATTGAGATCATTGGTGATTTTAACAAGAAAAGTTTTAGTGGACTGGTGAGGGCAGAGTTCAAATTGCAGAGAATGAAACAGTGATTGGAAAGAGAAGAAATGACGACAGCCTTTGTAGAAAAAGAATTGAGAAATCAGGCTGGGAAAGGGAGCAGAAAAATAATTTTGGAATTATGTGTGGTGTCAAGTGAGATTTTTTCCTTTCAGTGAAAGATCCTGGAATATATTTATGTTGATAGGAAAGGTCCAGCTGAGATCGAGAAATGGGTGAGGCAGAGGAGAAAGGGAATGACAGAGAGAGGAAAATCCTTGAGCGGGTGAAAGGGAATGTGACCTAGGACAGAGACTGACCACAGATGGGAGGAGAGATGTCCCCAGTGAAAACCAAGAAAGGAAGATGGATAGAGATGCAATAGGTTAGATGATTTAGTTGGGGGAAGACGTGAGACCTCCTGTCTAACTGCGTTTGTTTTCTCTGTGAAGGATAAAGGAAGGCGTCATCTTTGAGTGAGACAGGACTGGAGGCAGAGGACTGGAAAGTTTGAGGAGTGAGGAAAAATGATTGTCCCTACCAAGAGCCGCAGAGCAAACGTACTAGAGAAAAGTGTCAGACGTCAGTTTAGTGTCCTTTTGAATATGAGGACAGTAGATTTACAGAGATACCAACCTGCCTGCTTATGTGGGAATTTCATTAACACACAGCTGCGGAGGTAAAAGCATGGACAACCCAGGTGGAACGTAATGCAGACAGAGACTGGCAAGAGAGTTAAGGGGATTTGCAAGGAGGTGATTATTTATAATGATGAATCATCATATCTAATGAGAAAGTAGGCTGATCTTTGCTTTCTCCCTTACAGCTCCTGTTGCTGGGAAACATGGTAAGTGCTCACCACATCCTCTCCCTCCCCCAGCTACCCTCTCTCTCTGCTCCCTGCACCGTCTCTGGAGGTGCTCTGGGTGCACCAGCAACCCAGGACTGAGGTAGAACCAGGAAAGAGTAATTGCTCCCACAAGATGCCCTGCCCCCTTCTCCTTCCTCCTTCCCTTCCTCCCAGGGAAGCCAGGGATGGGCAGCCACAGGGCACAGCCTTTCTGTTTCTGTTCCGGTGAGACCTCACAGATTCTGTCACAGAAAATAACTGTCTTCTGTCTCAGTTGCCTTCCTCTCTCCAAACTAAATCACGAACCCAGGCCATTTTAGTTTCAGCCACATACAAAATCACATGATTTGCTTAGGTTAACCCCATGGGTTGATAAATCCTCTACTTTGCATGTATCTGAAGGCTTCAGGGCCTATTGCCTTGGACACAAATAGGAGATACCACTGGTTGCAGCTTGGTGGGTTGAACACGGCTGGGCACTGCTTTCTCTGCACCACTAACCTCTCCACCTCCCAGGACTGGTAGTGGGATGGGGCTCTACGTGGGCCACTGAACGCAGGGCTCCCTAGACTGGCCTGCCAGCCTTTCTCCTCTTTCTTATTCTTCTGAGGCCACAGAGACTCCTCTGTGCTTGGGTGTCAGGACAGGTCTATTCTAAAGGAGAAAGAATGGGGACTTCCCTGGTGGTCCAGTGGGAAAGAATCTGCCTTACAATGCTAGGGGACGCAGGTTTGATCCCTGGTCAGGGAACTAAGATTCCCACATGCTGTAGGGCAACTAAGCCCACACAGCTAGAGCCCACAGGCCGCAAACTACAGAGCCCACCTGCCCTGGAGCCTGCGTGCCACAACTAGAGAAGAGAGAACCCACACGCCATAACTAGAAAGAAGCCGGCGCACCACAACGAAAGATCCCACGCTGCAAAAAATATCCCTCATGCCGCAACTAAGACCCGACACAGCCAAAAAAATAATAAATATCTTTTTTTTTGTTCTGACTTCTTCCATTCTTTTTTTAAAAGGTGTATTTATTTCTTTTTATTTAGAAATAAATATATCTTAAGGAAAAAACAAACTAATAAGAAGCTGCTATATAAAAAAAATAAAATTCTAAAATTAAAAAAATAATACACTGTAAGGATACATTGTACAACAATATAGCCAATATGTTATAAAAACTATAAATGGAGTATAACCTTTAAAAATTGTGAATCACTTTATTGTATACCTGTAACTTATATAATATTACACAGCAACTATATGAATAAAAATTTTTATTCTAAAGAAAAAAAGAAAGAATGGAAGAAGTCAGAACAGAAACGTGGTGTCTGGCTCTCAGCCTGGCACCTCCACCAGATGTCCCCATTTGTCTTGTTCCAGATGTGGAGAGAGTTTATCCACTAGTGTCCAAATGCCTCAGCTTACAGGGAAGGAAAGTGATTCCCCAAAGGATGTATGTGTAGCGTGTGTGTGTGTGTGTGTGTGTGTGCGTGTGCGTGTGTGTTTGCTTGCCCCCTCTCCCATTCCCCTACCTCTTGTCCTCTCCCCTGGGGAGGAGGCAAGCTCCCTGAGAGAATCTGGGTTCCTGGGGGCCCCTGTTTGGGCTGCACGAGTTGGAGGAACTGCCTTTGGTTGCACAAGAGTTCTGGGTTGGGTTCCTCTCTTGATGTCTCCAGCATGGCCACAGTTTTCCATCTTCTGAGATTTGGGGTCTGCTTAGGCCCTTGGGGTCCCTTTCCTCATGCTGCCTTCTCTCTCTGCCCCTCAGCAGGTCTCCCAAAGGCTGTGGTGAACATTCAGCCTGCGTGGATCAATGTGCTCAAGGAGGATTACGTGACGCTGATGTGTCAGGGGACCAGCTTGTATGAAGGCAACCTCACCCTGTGGTTCCATAATGGGAGCTTCATCCAGAGCCAGAACCAGTCCAGCTATAGCTTTAAGGCCAGCAGCAATGACAGCGGAGACTACAGGTGTCAGAGAGAGCAGACCAGCCTAAGCGACCCTGTGCATCTGTACGTGACTTCCGGTCAGTGGAGGAAGGCCTGGGAGAGTCTGGGAGAGCAAGGATAGAAGACATCTGCTTACATGGCAGAGGTTTTTCGGAAAGGGGAATTGCCTGCTTACTGGGAAGCATGGCTGTGAGTTGTTTGAAGGGGTTTTGTCCACTGATTTCCCTTTTCATGCACCCCATTGCTTAGTATGTGTGGTGAGGTGGAAGTTCCTAAGAGATTTCTCAGAATATGTTGGGCACTGTTGTCTCGGTGCTGACTGGGCAAGAAGGTAACAAGGCCACTGACAGGCAGGTGGGTATGAGAGAAGCAGAAGGAAATCCCTAGTTCATAGAAATCCTTCCATTTTTATGGCAGAGTCAGATGCACAGACAGACCACAACTGAATCCTAGCCCTGGAAATTATAGCCACGTAAACATGATGATTTCATTTACCTTTGAGCTTTGGTTTCCTCATCAGCTCAGTGGAGATACTCTGCCTCCCCCATCAGGTCCCAGTGAGAATCAGCATTTCTCTGCCCCCTGCCCTCTGTTCAACTTGAGGTGAAAGTTGTTTCTTTCTTTCTTTCTTTCTTTCTTTTTTCGGTACGTGGGCCTCTCACTGTTGCAGCCTCTCCCGTTGAGGAGCACAGGCTCCGGACGCACAGGCTCAGCGGCCATGGCTCACGGGCCCAGCCGCTCCGCGGCATGTGGGATCTTCCCGGACCGGGGCACGAACCCATGTCCCCTGCCTCGGCAGGCGGACTCTCAACCACTGCGCCACCAGGGAAGCCCGAAAGTTGTTTCTTAACCACTTTTTATATCCAGCCCCAGGCACGGGACAGGGCTTAATAAATGTTTGGTGAACAGATCAATGATCCTCCAAAGCTCCTGGCAAGAAAACATTCCCCACAGAGAAAAGCTGCAGTGTGATTATGATGAATATTGTCAGTGCTATTCTTCACTTAGTCCCCTTCCCTCACCCAATTCTCAAATTCTCCTCAAAGGTATCTAGGCCCAGTGGGCCTGCAGCTCCAGGCCTGCTATCTCTACCCTCTGTGCTCAGCAGGAAAAGACAGTCCTGGAGGGAAGTCCCAGAGGCCTGGCAGGGCCTCAACCTCAGTGCTCCTCCTCTCTAGGAGGGGGTGGAGGTGAGGGATCCCTCCCCCGAGACTGTGTAAGTTCCCACCCGACCAGCAGGCGCGTTGACAAGGAGCCCTGGCACATGAGGTGGACACCACCCTGAAGGACCCAGGTGAAGAGCTAGAAGGCCTGGAGCCAGAGCACCAGCCATGGGGACCCTGAACCACTGTCATGGAGACTAGAGTCAACAGAATGCCGACTGCACCAGTGGGAGTCCCGACTCAGGTGGTAGCGCTCGTTCCCAGACAGCTCAGTGCCACGGTATGAAGAGCAGGCAGAGCAGGCCCTGCAGGGGCAGCTCCGTGGGCCTCAGTATCTCCAGCAGTTCGTGTCCAGCAGCAGCTCAGCAGGCCCGGCTGCATAGCCTGGCTGCTATCTAGCGGCCACACGGCAGGCCAGCTCCCCCAGACACCAGCGCAGTGAGCAGCTGAGCACCACCCAGGCCTCAGTCAATCTGGCCACAGCATCAGCCTCCCAGCTCACCAGCCAATCCCGGAGTGAACCCTCCCAGTGTCACCACTGTGACCCAATCTGTGCTACTGGGGAACACCACCTCCTCCCCCTCAACCTGTCCCAGGCCCAGATGTATCTAAGACCACAGCTGGGAAACCTATTCCAGGTAAACCAGACCTTGGCCCAGCATGTGCCTCTAGCTTCTCAACTCATCCTGATGCCTATTAGGGCAGTGGCAGTAGTCCAGCAGGAGGGGCTGTCTGCTCAGGCTGCTGGAGGCCATGTAGATGCAGTTTAGGTAGAGAACTTGGCACTGAGGAGCAACAGGCTTAGCCCAAAGCTCCACCCAGAAAGCTATTCCCCTGTTTAGCCTCCCCCAGGCCTCTAGCCAGGCCCTAGCTGTGGCTCAGGCTCCCTGTAGGGCCTCAGGCCAGTTCTTTAGCCTTAGTCCAGCTGGTGGGGGCAGTGGGAAGAGCAGGCAGAAGTGGCCACCCACCTGGGCCTTTGGGTCAGTGGCCCTCCTCAGGAATAGGTGGTGCTTGGAGCCATCCCAGGAAAGGCACAGGAGTGGTGGAGCCCTTGCCTGCATCCCAAACATGGACCCTGCTGCAGCTCCTCTGCCATCACCCATGCTAAGATCCAGGGCAAGTGCCACAGGGGTCAAGAGGACTCTAGCTGGGGTTCAGAGAATTCCAGTCACAGTAAAGAACTCTCTCCAATGTCCCTGGGCCATTATCGGTGAGAGCTGGACATGGGGAATGTGACCCAGGAACCTCCATACAGCTGTGCCTACACCAGCACTCATGACATCAACCCTGTGTTCCTGTCCAGTAATCTTAGCCACTGGAGTGCAGAGGAGTTGTATGAGTTTATTGCTTCTCTACAAGGCTTCCAGGAGATTGCAGAGGAGTTTTGTTCCCAGGAGATGGGTGGAAAGGCCCTTTTTTGACTTAAAGAACACCTCGTGAGTGCCGTGACCATGAAGCTGGGCCCTGCCCTCAAGATCTGCACCAAGAAATTGTCCTCGAGGAGACCTAAGGTGGCCCTCGTGCACAAACCAGCCTAAGGCTGACACTTCCACTGTCCAGGTTACAACCTGGTACCAGTAGAGACTTTGCTGAGAAGAAAGTGCTGTTCCAATGATGTGCACCTTCAGTAGAGGGGATTACCCAGACAGGGAGGAGAACTGCAAGAATTGGTTGCTGGCGCTACATGGAAGCAGCTTTGACATTTTCTCCGGGTTCTACTTCATTTAAAAAAATCTTCACGTGCTTCCCTGGTGGCGCAGCGGTTGAGGGTCCGCCTGCCGATGCAGGGGACACAGGTTCGTGCCCCGGTCCGGGAGGATCCCACATGCTGCAGAGTGGCCGGGCCCGTGAGCCATGGCCGCTGAGCCTGCACGTCCGGAGCCTGTGCTCCGCAGAGGGAGAGGCCACAACAGTGAGAGGCCCGCGTACCGCCAAAAAAAAAAAAAAAAAAAATCTTCACAATTCTCAGCATTCCCACCTACCCCAATCCAACCCTTATAAAAGAGGCAGTCTAGGGAACCAGGACTGCTCACCTAATCCTGGAGTGGAATGTCTAGCCAGGGCCCGAGTTCCTCAAGAGGAGGGATACACAGGATGGTATGGGAGGAAATGGGTGGAACGCAGGGGTGCCTCCCCAGTGGGAGAGGTGGGGTTTTCCAGCTTGTGTGACCCAAGTAGCAAGATGTGGTGCTCCCCACCTTCCCTGTGGATTGCCCCACTGTAGCCGTGGCCCAGAGTTTTCTCTTTGTTGTCACTCCCTCCCTCAGTATTGAGCATTTTCACCTGCACTTGCGGCAGGCTCAGCAGCCAGTGTAGAGACTGTTTTGGCATCATTCCGATCTGCTGAAGGGGCTGAGCGTGGTTGACTAGCACACGTATGGCTGTTGTCATTTCTTTCTCATGTCCCGACTCCCTTCCAACATATCTGTTGTTTTCTACCCTTTCTTTCCAATTCCAACTCTACTCTGTCCTATAGCTTTAGGAAAAAGGAGTGTGTGGGCTGAGGTCAGATTATAAGTACCCACCTTAGCCTCTATTCCCTATACGACAAAGAAAGTAAATATCTTTTTCCTCAGTAAAAGGATGAAAATTGGGGGGAAAAAGTACACAGCAGGCTAATGGCCCACCCGTGTCACTGCTGCCAAAGTCCCTGCTGAAGTGAAATGCCATATTTACTAACATGCACCAAATAAGCTAACATTTGTTAGATGTCCGTGACTTTCCCCAAAGACACTTGACTCTGCTGTGTTCCCCCGACATGTTGTCTCCTATGTCAGACTGGGTCCTTCCCTCCCTCCCTCCCTCAGGGAAGGGACTGTACTCCTGGGTCTCCTGTATCCCTCCTGCAGAAAGAAGCCTGTCGGGCAGGACAGGAACAGGAAGACAAGCATATGCTGAGCACCTACTGTGTGCCAGGAACTACTGTAGATAGCTAATGGTGTTATTGTGACTCTTTTCACATACGAGGAAACGGAGGCCCAGAAGAGTTAAACTATTTGCCCAAGATCACAGAGCTCATACATGATGGAGCTAGAATTACAGAGCAGGGGTGTCTGATTCCAAACTTAAGCTCTTCCCTCCACACACAGTGGCCCACCAGTAAGGATGGTCTGGGTCTCGGATTTGAGTGAAGACCTCCTGGGTCCTGGGGTCCCTTTGTGTCTTTCAGACTGGCTCCTGCTCCAGACCCCTAGCCTCGTGTTCCAGGAAGGGGAGCCCATCGTGCTGAGGTGCCACAGCTGGAGAAACAGTTCTCTGAATAAGGTCATATTCTTCCAGAATGGAAAATCCAAGACGTTTTCCCATCTGCGTTCCAACTTCTGTATCCCACGAGCAAACCTCAGTCACAGTGGCGAGTACCACTGCACGGGATTTATCGGGCAGACGGTGTACTCATCACAGCCTGTGACCATCACTGTCCAAGGTGGGAACCAATGCTGTTCAAGGAGCTTTACACCTCGGAAGGATAGGTAGTTAGAGGATTACTGATCTTTTTTGTACTTCAGAACCTTTGTTCTCACGAGCATGCCTGTTTGACATCAACAGGAAATTCTAGCTTGACCTAATTGCTGTGTGAATTTGCAGCTCTGTTCCAGCTCATTTCTCAGGGATTATAGAAATGGGTGTCCTTCATTTGGAGTTTTAACTCTTAGGGGACAGAAGCCACCTTTTCATCCTCCATATCCATCCACCAGGCATTGCCGCTCTCCCTCTTTTCCACCTTATTCAAACCACTTTATCATATGTCCCTGTAGGTGTCTTATGCTTGCTTGTGTCTCCCTACTGAACCTCTCAGCCTAGGCTCAAATCTTAGCTCAGAGTGGCCACGTTGGCATGAGAATCTCTCTCTACGTACAAAGAAAGAGGCTTCTGCCTGTTCTTGAGAAATTGTACATTGTGGGACCCATATCATACCCTTTCAGACAGCATCATAAGCTATTTATGCCAGACTAATGGTGGTTAGTGAATACCCAGTCCTGGGCTCGGAGGAGGTGGTGAGTGAAGATGTGCTGATGTGGTCTGTGGATTCCTTAGTTCAATGTTTCCCAAAGGCTGTTCCCCAATCACATAACTCCTTGAGAGGGCTTTCACAATGAAGGGTTCTGTGATCAAATTCATGCAGAACACACTACATACTCTGTTCCTCTCCTTTTATATTCATAATTCAGAGTAAAGGCTTCAAGAAGTCCTGTCTTAAAGGAAACTTTTAAACTAAGTTTCATAATGCATTTGCTAAACCCAGGTAACCACAAAACCTTTTTTCTTTATAACTCTATTAATGTCCTTCAGAACAGATGTGTTTGAGGTCATCCTTTGGAAATGCTGATCCAGTGCTTTATTTGGAAAGGCAGAGAGATGAAGGATAGACCCTCTGAAGCCTTCCGGGGCTAGCTGTCTGCCCTTGGCTTTCGCCTCAGTCTTTGGCTTGGGTGACTTCAAGGCTCCTCACTGGGGACCTGAACGTTTATTCCAAATTTCTGTCTTAACAGCTGTCATTTTTCCCATCCCTCTGCCTCTCCTATTAGGTCCGGCAATTCTATTCATCTTTCCACCTTGGTATCAAATCACTTTCTGCCTGGTGATGGCGCTCCTTTTTGCAGTGGATACAGAGCTGTATTTTTCTGTGCAGAGAGACCTTCAAAGCTCAGCGGGAGACTGGAAGAACTGCAAAGTCAGATGGAGTCAAGGCCCTCAGGATGAATGACCCCTCATCCCACAGCATAAGCGCAGTGGCAGCAGCATCTCTTCAGGCCATAACTTTCCTCTTCCCCTGGCCCCACCTTGACAGCAACGTGGGCTAAGGAGCCTCCAGGGAAAGAAAAGGCCTGTGATCTCCAGAGCTAAAATCCTAATAGGCCCTACCTTCACTGATTTCCCTAAGGCCAAGGCACAGTCACAGCCCACCCAGCTCTACAAGGACTCAGAGCAAATGTGTTTTCACAGATCCTTGACAGAGGTTCCTCAAATATATGAAATCTCAGGAAATCCTGCTTCTACTTTCAAAATAAATCCAACAATCCGACCACTTCTCAGTACTCTACTACTAGCATCTGGTCCAAGCCACCATCATCTCCCTTGAATTACTGCAGCAGCCTCCTGACTGCTCTCCCTGCACTCACCCATGACACCTGACAGTCCATTCTCACCATAACAGTCAATGTGTGTTGTATCTGTCACGTCTTTTCTTGAAGCCATGCAATAGCTTCCCTCTTGCATTTAAAGTAACAGCTAAAGCCTTTGTAATGTTCTACAAGGCACTACATTATCTTGTTCCTCAGTGCTTCTCTAACCTCATCTACTGCTCTCCCTTTGCTTCCTTGAACTCTTCAATTATACTTCTGCTACAGGTTTATATGTTATTTACTGTTTCTGAAATGTTCATTCTTACAGATATCTACATCATGCTTCATCATGGTCTTTACTCAAATATCATGTTATCAGTGAGGTCTCCTTGATCATTCGGTATAACCCCACTCCTCCACCATCTCCTAATCCCGCTCTCCTTTATTTTCCCCATTGTACTCATCACCAACTGGAGTACCATATGTTCACTTGTTTAATTGTTTACTGCTGTATTTTTCCCCTATTGTATGTATCACCAACTGACTACCCCCTCTCCCATTAAAATATGCTCCAGGAGAGCAGGGCCTTTGTCTGTTTTGTTCACTACCATATACTTAGAGTCAAGGTCAATGTCTGGCACTTGATAAAGCACTCAATACATATTTGTGGAATGAGTAAATTCTTTAGCATTTGAAATTAGAGACATTTTTAGGTACATCTACTCCATCTTCCCAGAAGCAGAGGTCCAATTCAATACTATTGAACACCCTATTAGATACTACCCAATACATACCACTTGTACATGCATTTCAGCTTTGAATATATTTGCCTAAACTCAGTATTATTTACTTTCACCCATCACATCTTTTAAAGTAGTATATCAGTTGGACCTACTCCCCTTTAATTGAATTGACTTCCTAAGCCTGTAGAGTAGTATTGTGAAAAGCATACAGAAAAGAGAGCCAAACAACCTGGATTTGTGTTTCATTTCTACATTTGCTAGCTGGTTTGTCTTGAAGAATTCATTCAACTATTTTCTGAATTAGATTCTTCTTCTGTAAAATGGTAATATCTTTATCTCCCTCCCCAGGGATATCGTGTGAGGTTAAAGTGTAACAACATATATGGAAGCATAATGTCTTTGGAACATAATAGGCATTTAATAAATGCTCATGGAACCTGATGTCTTTGGAGCACACTATTTGGCTGGCATTTTCCCCTTAAATAGATAAGATTGCTTTTACTATAGTAACTGAAAAAAAAGGTAAGAAGGTCTAAGGTGGAGTGGGGGTGGACTAGAAGGTAGAACTGAGTGAGTTATATTTTTGTGGCTAGTCACATCAGAAAAAAAAAATGGGGATAATCCCATTTGACCAGCTGTAGCCAGTATATTAAGCTCATATGCTGTAAAAATACAATCTCAGTGGCATAAAACATCAAAGGTTTATTTCTCATTCATTTTCTGCTTCCAGTCTTCCTGAAAGACTCCCCAGGAAGCTGTCTTTCATGGGATGGCTCAGGTTTATACTTCCATTTCAACACCAGCTACCACACATTGCCAAGGAAGACAAAGAGAACAGCAGTGAGGATGGTAATTAAATGCCCTCTGCCCAGTAGTAACATATCACACATACTTACATTTCATTGATCAAAACAAGTCATATGACCTGATCTCAAGAGGCATGGAATTGCAATCCCTTTCTGAGGCTAGAAGGAGGAGAATCATAAACATGGGTGAGCATCATCAATGTCTATCACACTAACATTTCTTACTGTACCACTGTGAGGGGTAAAAATGAATAAAGTATATATGGCGCTATCTCATAGACACAGCGGATCACTCCTCTTTTTCTTATTAACAGAAGCAGGATTTATTTGGGTATAGAGCAGGTACATAGTTTAGGGGAAACAGGAATCCCCTTTTGCTCCTGGATGAAATCAGAGATTTTTAAAGCTAGAAAGTGTCAGAAATGATGAAATTCAATCTTGTCATCTTAAAATTGAGAAAGGTATAGCCCAGATGGTTGAAATGACTTGTTCAAGGATGTACAGATAGTTGGTATCACAGATCTTTATATATAGTGGATCATACTATACATTTTGTTCTACAACTTGCTTTTTGTGCTCAGTTTTGGGTCAAGAGCATCCCTCCACAATGACCTTTTTTTTTTTTTTTTTTTTTTTTTTGCGGTTCGTGGGCCTCTCACTGTTGTGGCCTCTCCCGTTGCGGAGCACAGGCTCCGGACGCGCAGGCTCAGCGACCATGGCTCACCGGCCCAGCTACTCCGCGGCATGTGGGATCTTCCCGCACCAGAGCACGAACCCGTGTCTGCTGCATCGGCAAGCAGACTCTCAACCACTGCGCCACCAGGGAAGCCCCACAATGGCCTTTTAAGTCATCACTTGAATGTCTCTTCTACTTTTTAAAAAAATAAATTTATTTATTTATTTTGGCCTCATTGGGTCTTCGTGGCTGCGCGCGGGCTTTCTCTAGTTGCGGTGAGCACGTGCTACTCTTCGTCGTGGTGCGTGGGCTTCTCATTGCAGTGGCTTCTCTTGTTGGAGAGCTCAGGCTGTAGGCGCACAGGCTTAGTTGCTCCGTGGCATGTAAGATCTTCATGGACCAGGGATCAAACCCGTGTGCCCTGCATTTGCAGGCAGATTCTCAACCACTGTGCCACCAGGGAAATCCCTGTTTTACTTTTAAAGACACTCAATCTAAGTTACTAAACATAAGTGGATATGTTTAAGTGTATGTTTAAAATTTGCATTGCATAATAAGCTTCTCTATTATGAATTAAAAAATAAAGTGAATGACATTGGAAGCACGCCTGTGTGATGCTGTGTCTAGGTACAGAGGTGCTTGCTTTAGGGCTATACCTGGAACTCTTGGGGGTAGATGTGCAGGTGGGGTTTTGAGGCTGCTGAGGGCTGGGAGAGAAGGTCGGAGTAGCTTGACAAGGCAGGCCCTGAACAGTCCAGGGCACAGACCCCAGGCCAGGCCACCTTTTCCTTTCTGAAGTGAGCACCCTTTTCTTGCAGGCTCTTGCCTAAAATGTCCTAACTTTGACACGCAGGCCTGGGCAGCCTAAACACCGAAAGTGAATGAATTTAAAGCTGACAGCTTCTCTCCCTCCTGGGTTATAAAAGAGGTTGATATGATTTTCCACCATGGAAGCCACTCATTGCATATGTCTTCAAACATTCCCTTTTTTCCAGTCCAGAAGTGGGACTGACATCTGCATCCTGACTCCCTCCTCCCTCTTCAAAGGCCCTGAAGCATTCCAAAGAGTTCTGAGCCATCTGAGGAGAAAAGACCCATTTACAGAGCAAAGGTTTTTAGTTCCTCTTTTTAAAAATTAGGAGTTGCCTTTGAATCGGGTGAATAATAATATATTACATAATAGTTGAAGCTACTAGAGTTTAACATTAGAATGTATCATGTTCCCCTGGGTACTGTGCTCTTAGTATAGTGGTGACTATCCCTGTCTGTCATGCAGGAAACCAGAGTTCCTTCCCCCATGGGGAGGTTATAGAGAACATTTGCTTCTCTTTCCTCCATTTCCATCCTCACGTCTCCAAAAAGTCTCCTTCTTTTGGCTTTTTGGGAGTCCACGCCAAATAGAAACACCAAAAAATTCAAATGGGATATTCTGGATTAAGGAAAGTGAGACATAGCAAAGACTCACTTTGCAAGGCCATAGCACTGATGGGAACAAATGTGGCTTTACTGACCAGTGAACTCATATCCTCCCCGGCCTTCAGGGCATAGGATGGACTGCAGCCTCCAGGAATTTACTCCCCACGTCCGTCCTGGGCTCTGGCTGGGAACCCGTCCAGGCCTCAGAGAAAAACGCACACTGTGCCTTTCCAACCGGCCCCTTGGGCCGATGCTCCTTGGAGACACTGGCCCAGGGAGGAGGCTCAACCACAGGAGGGACATTTTCACCACAGTTCATCCATCCACATGCTCCTTCCTCCTGTGCTGTGTTCTTTCCAGGGCTGGGTGGAGAGGTCATGCCTGGGTCCCCAAGCCACAACACCAGGTTCCGGCTCCTCTCAGGAATGCGACTTGGTAAAGGAACAAAAACCAAACGAACCCAGCCTTCAACTAACTGGTTTTGTTTATTTCAGTGTCACAAATCCTAGAATAGAAAAAGTCTTAACATATACACACTACTATATGTAAAATAGATAACTAATAAGGACCTAGGTAACTCTTCTCAGTACTCTGTAAATGACCTATATGGGAAAAGAATCTAAAAAAAGATTGGATATATGTATAAGTGATTCTCTTTGCTGTACAGCGGAAACTAATACAACATTTTAAATCAACTGTACTCCAATACAAATTTTTTAAAATTAGAATAGCCTGGAAGAAAGAAATACACTGCATTGGCCGGGAATCGAACCCGGGCCTCCCGCGTGGCAGGCGAGAATTCTACCACTGAACCACCAATGCCCCTAGCGGTGACGCAGCTCAGAGTGCCATCTTTTAAAGTCGTCTCTGGCCCTAGTTTCATTCCAGAACAGAAATCGGGCCACGCCTCTTAGCCACAATTTCGAAAACACTGCCTTTAGGTTTCAAAACAACAACAACATAATAATTAAGCCTTAATCAAAAAAACTACTATTTAACCCCCTGCCTCGAGGCCATGGCTCTATTCGCATGGTGACATGCTTTCCAGCTCTTCTCGAGCCGCTGGACTCTGATCAGCCCTCTTGAACCACCCAGAGGAAGAACTGTTTTCTTGAGAAGTTTTTGCTTTACCTGAATTCTGCCCCAACCGCTCGCCCTTAGAACAAGCCGGAAGAAGCTGGAACTTTCTCTGCAGCTCTGAGTCTGACGCAGCTGGGGCCGCCCCTCATTGCACGGCACCATCCGCCCGAACCTTCTCCCGGAGTCAGCCCGGCGCCTCCTGGGCTGTCAGCCGGAGCGGGGGGCCGGGCGTCTCTGGGCTCGCCGCGAAGGCGCTGGAAGGTTCGCGTCGGCGGGGGCGTGGGTATGGCGGGCCTCCGGCAACCGGATAAAAAGCTCGTGGAAGCGGAGCCGAGCAGATCCGAGCTGGGCAGGCAGGAGAGTCGCACCGCTGAGCGCACCTCCACGGCTGAGCCGCTCGAAGTTCCGCAGACTCCTGCATTTGAATCGGTATCACACTCGTCCCAGAAGTGCGAGAAGCCACAGCCATGTCCGCTGCAAGGGAAGTGGCCATAGGCATCGACCTGGGCACCACATACTCATGCGTGGGCATGTTCCAGCAAGGCCAGGTGGAGATCCTCGCCGACGACCAGGGCAACCGCACCACCCCCAGCTACTTGACTTTCACCGACACCGAGCGTCGGGTGGGCGATGTGGCCAAGACCCATGCGGATCTGAACCCACACAACAGAGTGTTCCACGCCAAGTGACTGATCGGGCGCAAGTTCGCAGACCCCACTGTGCAGTCGGACATGAAGCACTGGCCCTTCCAGGTGGTGAGCGAGGGCAGCAAGCCCAAGGTGCGCGTGTCCTACCGCGGGGAGGGCAAGGCGTTCTACACCCCGAGGAGATCTCGTCCGTGGTGCGGAGCAAGATGGAGACAGCGGAGGCGTACCTGGGCCAGCCCCTGAGGCACGCTGTAATCACGGTGCCCTCCTACTTCAGCGACTCCCAGCGTCAGGCCACCAAGGACGCGGGTGCCATCGCGGGGCTCAACACGCTGAGGATCATCAACCAGCTCACGGCGGCTGTCACGGCCTATGGCCTGGACCGGCAGGGCGCCGGAGAGCGCAACGTGCTCATTTTCGACTTGGGTGGGGGCACCTTCCACGTGTCGGTCCTCACTATCGACGCCGGTGTCTTTGAGGTGAAGGCCACGGCTGGAGACACTCATCTGGGTGGAGAGGACTTCGACAACCGGCTGGTGAACCACTTCGTGGAGGAGTTCCGGCGGAAGCACGGGAAGGACTTGAGCAGGAACAAGCGGGCCCTGCGCAGGCTCTGTACAGCCTCTGAGCGCGCCAAGCGCACCCTGCCCTCCAGCACCCAGGCCACTCTGGAGATCGATTCCCTGTTTGAGGGCGTAGACTTCTACACTTCCATCACTCGAGCCTGCTTTGAAGAACTGTGCTCGGACCTCTTCTGCAGCACCCTGGAGCCGCTGGAGAAGGCCCTAAGGGGTGCCAAACTGCACAAGGCCCAGATCCCTGACACTGTCCTAGTGGGTGGCTCCACCCGCATCCCCAAGGTACAAAAATTCCTGCAGGACTTCTTCCATGGCAGGGAGCTGAACAAGAGCATCGACCCGTATGAGGCTGTGGCTTATGGGGCTGCTGTGCAGGCAGCAGTGTTGATGGGGGACAAGTGTGAGAAGGTGCAGGATCTCCTGCTGCTGGATGTGGCTCCCCTGTCCCTTGGGCTGGAGACAGCTGGTGGGGTGATGGCTACGCTGATCCAGAGGAATGCCACCATCCCGGCCAAGCAGACCCAGACTTTTCACTACCTATTCAGACAACCAGCCTGGGGTCCTGATCCAGGTGTATGAGGGTGAGAGGGCCATGACTAGGGACAACAACCGGCTGGGATACTTTGAGCTCAGGGGCATCCCTCCTGCCCCACGTGGAGTCCCCCAGATCGAGGTGACTTCTGACATTGATGCCGGTGGCATCCTGAGTGTGACAGCCACTGACAGGAGCACAGGCAAAGCTAACAAGATCACCATCACCAATGACAAGGGCCGGCTGAGCAAGGAGGAAGTGGGGAAGATGGCTTGTGAGGCTGAACAGTACAAGGATGTTCAGGATGAGGATGAGGCCCAGAGGGACAGGGTGGCTGCCAAAAACTCTCTGGAGGCCTATGTCTTCCATGTGAAGAGCTCTTTGCAAGAGGAGAGACTTAGAGACAAGATTCCTGAAGAGGACAGGTGCGAAGTACAAGACAAGTGTCAGGAAGTCCTTGCTTGGCTGGAGCACAACCGGTTGGCAGAGAAAGAGGAATATGTGCATCAGAAGGGGGAGCTGGAGCATATCTGTCACCCCGTCTTCTCCAGGCTCTACGGGGGGCCTGGTGTCCGTGGCGGTAGAAGTTGTGGATCTCAAGCCCGACAGGGAACCCCCAGTACTGGCCCTGTCATTGAGGAAGTTGATTAAATGGCCCCTCCTGGCAAGGCAGCTGTGACTGTAAGGGCTGGGCTTGTGGACTTTCTAGACTGTCTACTATGATCCTGCCTATCTTGAGGGGTGGGAGTGGAGGAGAACCTTGCCCCCAAACAGGGAGTTTTATTGGTCAGTATGTTTTATAACTGAGATATTTGCCAGTTGACTTTTAAAAAATCTTCTTCTCCTACTTCAGACAAGCAGAAGTAATCATTATGAACATTTGTGTGGCACTTTATCACTGCTTTTATCTACATTTAATGTATTTTGTTACTTGCATGTATGGATTTTGTTATGTGAAATAAAAGAGCTAAATAAACTTTTAAAGTTTCTTCTTAGTTTTCATTCTATCCAATTAAGTAGATGAAGGGGCAGGGCTATCAGAAGCAGAAAATGTTGGGGTGGGTGCTGAAGGAGGGATGGGAAGAAAATTCATGAGGCTGTGTGCATGATTTCTATAAGGGAAAACAAGACAAGAGGAAGAATTTGAGGCAGGCACATTGAGATAGTATTGAAATGAGGTCAGACAGGAGAGAATTGTGACACTGTGTTAAAAGAGGGAGGGAGGTGGAGCTGGAAAAGCAGAGAATGAAGAGAAACGTAAGCCCTAGCAAGACCCTAAAATAAAAATTCTGTATTAGGAGCCCAGTTTAGTTTGTCAGTCTGTGTGTCCTAACACACTACCAAAGAGTTTATATGCTAATTATCTGCCTCTAATAATGTGACCTTATTCATTGTTCATTAGAGGGCAGACCCCAAGTCTTGGACTCTGGGGAATATGTTAGACTGAGAGGGTAAGTCTAGTGGTGTAATTAAAGTTATTATTATCTTATCTATGTGAGAGAAATAGCATGGCCCCATCTGCTTTCTCCTGATGAGCCCTAGGATGATGATGATGATGACAATGGCAATTGTGTAGCAAAATGGCTATATTGGAACCAGAAGGCTTAGGTTTTCAGTGCTGTTACTTTATCTACTCTGCAAGTTAAACTCTGAGCTTCAGTTTTCCCTTCTATATAATGGGGATGATGATGAAATAGTACCTCAGAATTGTTATAAAGGTACAATTAACTAAATATGTGAGGAGTGAAGAAGAATGTTAGGCATATAGTATATGAGCAACAAATATTAGCTATCACTACTTATTATTAATTGATTGTCACCTATGTACCAGGTACTTGATTATACAATGTAATCATCACAGCAACATCACCTTTTGAAAGTGAGGATCTGGAGGTTAAAAGACATTAAACGATTACTCAAGGGCCATAGCTATTAAGTCGGGGAAGGGGGGTGGTGGGGAGAGTTGGAATTAAGAGCCCTGTCCTACCTGATTCTAGAGCCCATACATTGTCACCTCACAAACAGGCCGTAACTCCACTTATTACCAGATCTTCACCCAGATGTTGTGAAATTGTACATATTATTCCTTTAGAACACAGTTGGATGCTGAGCCCTGAGAGAAAAAGTATACTTTATTGTATACTTACATTATCCATTAAGTGAATATGTGTTTTTTATAGCAAGTGACTAAACCTGGGAAATATCCTAAGGCTCAACTCTATTGCCAGTTAAATTACATATAAGAGAAGGATAAATTTGTGTAAGTTACTTCCCAATCAGCCCAATCCACACTGTACCTCTCCCACGTGCAAAGAGAGATTTATTTTTAGCTCAGAAAAGAAGGCAGCCTTGGTTAGAGCAATGGTACGTTATATTTAGCTAAGGGTGATTTCTTGCAGGTGGAGAGGTTGCAGTAACAACCCATTTGTCCCCTGGTTGTCATTTCACATTTTTAAGTGCTTTTTCCTGCGCCTGGCCTAAGTCCTATGCCAGCTGGCTTCCCGTTGAAGGACCCTGCAAAAAAGAGATGATGTCACATACACATTCTGTATTATACTTTCCCTTTCCTGAATTTCCTTCCAGCTTCCAACATTGACCATCCCAAACTGTTTGTAACTTCTCAAGCAGAATGATGGCACCTACAGGGTTTAGACTGTTTCCTAGCATTTCAACAATCTCTCTCTCTCTCTCTCTCTCTCGTTAAAAACACACACAGTATATAAGAAGGAGAATTTCATTGTGCTTAGTTGTCAAAACACTTCAGATCTTCTCATTTGGATGGTATCTATTTTTCTACAGAGGGATTTAAACAAACTAACCACTTCATCTACTTTTAAATGATTGTTGATGCTTTAGATTCTTTGGGGATTGTTTCCTGTTAATAGGCATCTAAATGTCATTGTACTGTGTGTGTATATATATATATATATATATATGTATATATAGTCTTAGTTCGATTACTGTAATCACAGCTATGCGTGATTACAATAAAAATATTAGAACAAATTAAATATTTGTTCCCCAAAATATCAGAACAAATTAAATCAAAATATATGCCCATTATTAAAAAATCATATCTTGCTACAATCCTTCTAATGAAAAACAAGCAGTCTTGGGAATTCCCTGGTAGTCCAGTTGTTAGGATTCTGTGCTTTCACTGCCATGGCAGGGGTTCAATCCTTGGTACGGGAACCAAGATCCCACAAGCCTCATGGGGTGGCCAAACAACAAGAAGAACAAAAAAACCCCAGCAGTTTCTTGCCCCACACCCAAGTGCTACTCCTAACAGGCAACCACTTTCAAGTTTTTTTTTTTTAAGGCCTTTTTATTTTGCAATAATTTTAGACTGAGAGTTGTAAAGATACTACAGAAAGTCACTGTATATACTTCATCCAGCTTCCCCTAATGTTAAGGGGATTTCATATTTTTCCACTAATGTTCTTTTACTGTTTCAGAAGCCAATCCAGGTTAACTCGTTGCATTTTGTCATCATGTCTACCCTACAATCTGCAACAGTTTCTTAATCTTCTGATGTTTTTCAAGACCTTCACATTTTGAAGAGTACTGGTTAGGTATATTTGGTAGATTGTCCCTCAATTTGGGTTTGTCAGTTTTCTCATGATTACAGTGGGCTTTTGGGGAAGTATACCACAGGGAGAAGTGCCCATCTTATTGTATTATATCAGGAGGTATGTGATATCAATGTGACTTATAAATGTGGGGATCTTATAAAATGTAGATTCAGTAGGTCTGAGGTACAGCCTGAGATCTGTATTTCTAATGAGCTGCTAGGTCATCTCAATCCTCACAACAATTCTATCTCTACTACAAGCAAACTAAGGCTCAGAAAAGTCAAATACATTTCCCAAGGTCGCAGCCCAGTAAATAACAAAGAATGTAGTTTGTCTGGCGAGCTTTCATTAACCAACCTAAGGATCCTTCCATCCTCATGCTTATGGACCTCACACATTCAGCCTCTTCGGACTGACAGTTCTTCCCTCTTCCGGAAAGCACAAGATTTTTCTATAAATCAGCGTCTCCCAAATTAGAGAGTAGCTTGTTTGCGGTCTTCAAGAAAAAGTTCTTGAAACAACTCCATGAGTTTACCTTTGCTCTCTAATACTTTCCCCCGTTTGGTGTGTTGATTTCCTTTCCGGGTCTTTGAGGACCCAGCAAACGTGCTGAATTAGAATTGGTGGTGGGAGCTGGCCCGGCAAGATGCTGGGGAATCCGAGTCTCATCAAAGTTTGACACTGCAGTCTGAGCATGAAAAGACTCAGGTCAGTTACAGCAAGTTTAGGGATCTGGGTTGAAGGCTTTTCCTTGTTCAGGGAAGTCTTGTATCTACATGCAGTAAATAGGCACTGAGAAACCGGAGTCTAAAGGAAAGAAAAAAATTTTTTGTAGTTAGGGATAGATCTAAATAGATTCAGTTTCATAGTCAAAGCGAAGCACAACCTTCCTGTGTAGATAGGCAGCATAGAAAGGTGTTTATTAATCAATACTCCTTTCTCCACGAATTCAATCCTACTTCTATGTTGGAAAAAAGTGGATAAAACATGTATCTTGTCAGAAGTGGGATTCGAACCCACGCCTCCAGAGGAGACTGCGACCTGAACGCAGCGCCTTAGACCGCTCGGCCATCCTGACACATAGGAAGAAATGTTTCTATTCCCGTCTAAGATTGTCAAACACCGCGGTAGCATGATGTTGAACTATATCAATGCTGTTTGCTGTTTATTTAAATAAACTTAGAATTCTCCCTGGACTTCTTCGCAAAACAGGAAAAATAAAACTGCCTCCGACTCCTATCTCTTACTTCTTCATAATCCTAAACTGTAAAGATCCATTTCCCCAGTGTCCCTTCGAGCGCTCCTCTCGCTCCTTCTCTCGGGGGACCGAGCCACACCAGGGTGGACCCGCTTGCTGGCCGGTCTCCCTCGAACCCTCCGCCCCAAATCGCCGTTACCGAACCCAACACCCGGTAGATCCAGTGCTGGGGCGCGCCAAGCGGCGGAGCTGGGAGCGCGGACGACAGAAGGCGACGGGGCAGAAAATTCCCCGGGCCGAGCGAGGCATTGGCTTTCCCTCCGGGCTCCGCGTCTCCAGCCCTCCGGCTCCGGGCGCCGGGTGGTCTCTGCGTTCCCGGCCCCGCGTCGTTAGTTGGCGGGGCCGACTAAGAGGAGTAAGGACGGGTCTATCCTCACCGAGAAAAGGTTTTGTGTGCCTTGGGATCTCGGATATAAAGCAATACCAAAAGCCGTGACATCATGGCCAGTAGTATACTTATATATATAATTCAGAAACTGAAACGCGACTGCGTTGGTGGTATAGTGGTGAGCATAGCTGCCTTCCAAGCAGTTGACCCGGGTTCGATTCCCGGCCAACGCAACTTACTTTTTCTCACCCTCAGCAAGTTCCTGAAAAGAGCGAGAAATAGGGCGTGCAATACATTTTTAAAGCTTGAGAGAAACTGGGAACTGAAACTAAGAACTGCAGCGAAACCTCCCTTTCTCCCCTGACCTCGTTATATACCCTGGGGGCCTCATTCTCTGCCCAGCAACATTTTGGAGGGATTAGATTCTAAAGGCATTCTTTCCTCTCTTACCTTCCCTCCTAACTTCCTTTTTTTTTTTTTTTTTACATCTTTATTGGAGTATAATTGCTTCACAATGGTGTGTTAGTTTCTGCTTTATATCAAAGTGAGTCAGTTATACATATACATATGTTCCCATATCTCTTGCCTCTTGAGTCTCCCTCCCTCCCACCCTCCCTATCCCACCCCTCCAGGCGGTCACAAAGCACCGAGCTGATCTCCCTGTGCTATGCGGCTGCTTCCCACTAGCTATCTATTTTACGTTTGGTAGTGTATATATGTCCATGCCTCTCTCTCACTTTGTCACAGCTTTACCCTTCCCGCTCCCCATATCCTCAAGTCCATTCTCTAGTAGGTCTGTGTCTTTATTCCTGTCTTTCCCCTAGGTTCTT